AGAAAAATTTGAGGAAAAAGGTGTGAGGGATGGGCAGGCAGAAATTTTTTACAACCTAAAAAGAGGCAATTTTTGCATTTTTGTATGTTTTCTTGCATCTTATGCAGTGCAAAAACGCATATTATCGAGGGGTTATCTGTACCTCTGTCTATCTGTGTGTTCGTCTGTACCGATTTTTTCATCTCGAGACTTACCAAGGCTACAGAGCTGAAACTTTGGGAACTTAATCTACATGCACGCACAGGACCCATCCCCAAAATGAGTGTTCTTGCCCACGTGATTCCAATGTACGGATTCATTAAATTTTTTAACAGGTATACTGCTAACTCAGAAACAAAAGAAGTTAGCTGAAATTTTAAGGGGATGTCCCCTGACAGTCCTGGTGACCTGTTTAAATTTTCTTAGAAGCATCTGCCGGAAAAACAATGCCGTTAGCGACAAAAACCTGTGGGGAGCGATGCAAAAAATGCATCTTTGCATCGGTAATCGGTGAGCTGGCCAATTTTTTCTTTTTTGTAAGTAGTAGTTAAAAAAACAGCTGCTTATCACTTTAGCAACATTTTTTGAATAAAAATTTCAAAACCAATCGAGAGCCCCGTTATTGAGCGAAGGGGTGAAAAACAGATTCAAATTTAATTTTTTTCGTGAACTTTGAAGAAATCAGAGCTCTCTCTCTCTCGAAAAAAAAAAATACGGATACACCTTAGATCTGTTAAATTTTTTTCCATGTGGAAGCCAAATGCAACAGAGAAAGTTTCTTTTTTATTTTTTATCTAATTTTTAAATTTGCTGCTTGTTGAGGCACAAGCATTGTAATGGCGGCGAAAAAGGTGATACTCAGGATGGTGGCAGTACAAGTACTCCGTGTTGTCAGGTTCGGTGCAGACTTGTGTCAATTGCTGAATGCTTTAAAGTAAGAAATACCTTAATGCCGTTCTGAGATTCAGCTTTATTTTGAGTATTTCTCTTTTTTTTCCTTTATTCACTTTCACCTATTTATAGTTACTTGCTTCCATTTTTGCAGAATTGTTCCTATAAAAGCGTAGAGACTTGGTTTAGCTTCACTCCATCATGGTCTGTCTCTCCACCTGTACAGCTGGCAACTTTTCCAGTGCTTCGACCAGTGTTATTTCGTCTGATGGTCAGCTTGATGGCAGTCGTCCTGACGTTCATTTTACCTTTTGTAGAAAATATTATCTATTTTTTAACTATTCTGCGGACAGAAATGCTTGGAAAAACTTTAGTTCTTGTCGATGCAATCATACGTTTTTGCGCCAAACATACAGATCGTTAACATTAGGAATGGTCCCTGCGCTGCAGTTTAACACTTGGATTCATATTGGCTGTGTTTTGGCTCCTTCTCGCATGCAGGAAGAAGTGGCACCGATTTTTTGAGATTTTTTTTTTGCTGTTTAATAGCACTGCTACTTTATCTCACCAATGCTGATAAAATCTAGTTCACGATGGACCACTTTACCGGTTGGAACAGGTTAAAATGTAATTAAGAAAATTA